TCTAAGGAACAGTTTTCCGCTGTGCTATTGAACTGCTGTGACTCGGAGTTGACAAGACACCATTGGATTTGGGTTTTTGGATTTGTATCTCCCTCCCTTACTCCAAGTAGAAACCATTGTGGTAAATTATTTTATGTTCTTTAAAAACAATTTTCAAACAAACGTATAACCAAAAGGACATAAAAGGCTAGAATGCATCATTTGAAAATAAAATGAAAAAAAAAAAATCATATGGGATTACTTTTTAGCTGTTGAATTCAGTCCTCCAGGAGTAGACGGTTGTTCAGGATCCTGGTTAACAAGGCAAGTTGGAAAAGAACAGCCATCACCTAGACTGCAATGGAAACCAAACCTTATCAATGAGCCATGAAGAGGACAGAAAAGTGCAACTCTGTGAAAGTGTTCATGACTGAGAGGTAGCATGTTCTATCAGTCAAAGCAGTGTTTACATTAAGTGAGATGAGAAGTTGACTGGTTTTTCCATATTGATGTAAAAATTGTGTTTTATAAAAGAGAAGTCTCAAATGCAGATATTGCCTAGTGACAGACCAATGGAACAAGAAATTCTTCTTGAAATGATCTTTAGTTGGACTATTTTCATTAGTCTACAATCAAGTACCTTGAAAAAATGGGTAATAACCAATATTTCTTCTCATCTCCAAAAACTTGTCGCAAGTTTTTACTGAAACCCAAGCTGAATCCATTCTTATCTGTTCCGTGACGAAATACTGGACTTCTGAATGCTTCTAGAAAAGATGATAGAGAAGTCATATGAATAAAGAATATATCTACTAACAACTCATAACATTTAGAGATTACTGAATTAAATGTGTATAGCTGTCAAAATCAATTGCTACATAAACCCTGTGAAGATTTATGTGCCATCAGCAGTCCTGCAATATAGATTATCTATGGGGGGGGGGGTTGTGTGGTTCTGTAGAAAGCACTGGACTGCTAAATCTAAGGTCAGTGGTTCAAACCAACCAGCCAGTCCTCAGAAACCTTAAAGAGGATCGCAAAGAGTCAGAATTGACTTGATGGCAATTAAAAACAACATTCTAGGTTTTAAAATGATTGCAAGATAATGTCTATTTTAATTTTTAAGGAATCCTTTTATTAATATAACAGAATATGTGCAGATATATGCACAACTCTACATAGTATTTTTAATCAAAATGAGGCTACATAGACATTCTTCAACTTGCTTTTTTCAGTCAATAAATTGATTCCCAATTTTGTTAGAATTTTATCTATTGGACTGCAAGGTCAGTTTGAATGGCAAGGTTGGCGGTTCAAGCTCACCAGTCTCTTCTTGGAAACCCTATACAGGGTCACTATGTTCTGCAACTTGGTTGATTTCATTCAATTGCTATAACATTTTGGGTGTTAGTTATGATTTTCTATACACGCTCTAATAAGATCACATCATTGTGAATAGCAATAGATTTAATTCTTCTTTCTTTTGTTTCTTTTTCTTGCCAAATTGATCTGGCTTACACTTCTAGAACTGATTTGAATAGAAATGGTACAATGGGAATCCCTGTCTTGTTCCTAATCTCAGGAGGAAAGCTTCAGACTTTCATCATTAGGTATGATGTTAGCTGCGAGTTTTTCACAACAGTCTTGTATCAGGTTGAGGAAGTTCCCTTCTAGTCCTAATTTAACTGATTCTATTATGAAAGGGCCAAATGCTTCCCCCCC